GCCAATTATTGCAGCTGGAAACTAAGGAATTGAATTTGAAATTCAATAGATATTAAGTTCAGTTTACCAACCTCTTTCTGCACTCTCCATGGTTGATTGTTTGAGACAATGGTTGAGTTTTTCTTGTTCTTGCTAAGGCAATCATTTCATATTCATTGTTCTTTACCAGTGGTTTATTGTAATTATTAGATAAATTAGATTCTTAATATGTGATTATTTCTTTAACTGAAAACAATATATGAGCAGAGAATACTTTCTTTGTCAGTGTTTTGGATAGGCTGCAATTGCTGCTTGTCTTTTCTATGGCCTCTTTGAATTGATTCTTACACCTCCCTTATTTTCTTGTTGAGAAAGAAGAATGAGAAACATAGGATGAATCCGCGTGTCTTGACTACAGTGGAACATATATTTATAATAGGGATCCATAATACAGAATATATAGTTACATAATTATTGCAATTATAAAGATACTAATTTCCTTATTTACAGCATTACTATAATTACATAATTCCAACATTTCCTTTATTGTGAAACCACTGATTGAAGCTGTGTTACATACAGGTTGCTGTGGATGGTATCTGGAAAGTGTGTCCTCGGGCTGGTGGCTCCATTCAGTTCCCTGGCTTTAATGGTCGGTATATACTGTTATTTTGTTTGTTTACGCATAAATTTTAGATTACCAATAAGTTAATGGGTTGCTTTTGATTATATTTTTCAATAGGTGAATTAATCTGCCCTGCATATCATGAGCTGTGCAACACAGATCTAGTGGTTGTGTCTGGGAAATGTCCCAATGCTTGTAATTTCAATGGAGATTGTGTTGATGGAAGGTGCCACTGCTTTCTTGGATTTCATGGTCATGATTGCAGTAGAGGTGAGCTCTCATTTCATGCACTATATTTTGTGTTCATTTGGCTTTTACATACACCCAAGCTACCTTTTGTTTAGCAGCATGGTATAGTTTTACTTTTTCTTTCAGTAATTCCTGTTCTCTTAACTTATTTCAGGTTCCTGCCCCGGCAATTGCACTGGCAATGGCATGTGCCTCTCCAATGGAATATGCAAATGTAAAACTGGCTATACTGGCATTGACTGTTCCACTGGTAAAGTCCCAAGTTTATTCTGGACTAGATATTCCCTACAAGATTTTCCTTTTAGAGGAATGCTAGCGACACACTCTCCCAAACAAAGTCTCTATTATTGGCTAAAATTTATTGAAACATTAATTTAAGAGTGAGACACGTGGTTTTTGTAATTTTCAATAAATTTTAACCAATAGTGGGAAGAGTGTTACAGAAAGTGTGTTAGAGAGTATGTTGCTAGCATTCTTCTTTCCTTTTTAAATGATATACATTTATGGGTCCTGACCTCCACCCCCCATCCTTCAATTCTGTGTTTAAACCCCTTTTTTTTCATTCTGGGTGGGGTAGCATCATTATTTTCTTACCTTGTAATCTGAAACATTACTTGTTTCTTGCTTATATTGTAATAGCAAATAACTCTTGTCTTGTGGCATTAGCTGGGGAATCAGGGATGGGCTTTTGAATAAATATTACACTGTTAGCCAATATGAAGGATATTTGAGTGCTTGAACTATTGGGGTTCCTTTTGTATTAACTTAAGATTGATATGATTCATGGAGGTTTCTAGTTTGTTTTTTTCCAAAATGCATTTACATATTAATCTGAGTCTTGTTAAATAATATTGAGTTGGAAAATATTTACATAATTATTGCAGAACCATAATTAAGTTGTTGCTTATCCCTGATATTACATGCAGCTGTTTGTGACGAGCAGTGCAGTCTTCATGGTGGGGTTTGTGATAATGGAGTTTGCGAGTTCCGCTGTTCTGACTATGCAGGATACACTTGCCAGAACAGCTCCATGCTCCTCTCCACTCTTTCAATTTGCAAAAATGTGCTGGGAAATGATATTTCTGGGCAGCATTGTGCACCCAGTGAACCTAGCATACTACAGCAGCTAGAAGAAGTGGTTGTCATGCCCAACTACCACCGATTATTCCCTGGTGGTGCTAGGACATTATTTAATATATTTGGCAGCAGCTATTGTGATGAGGCAGCTAAAAGGCTTGCCTGCTGGGTAAATCCTATCTTTTCATGCCAAATTTACTCTAGATCTTTGTTTTTCCTTTTGTAATGTATTCTCTTCTTAGCCATGCTCAACTTGAAATTTTTGTTCTCAATGTGGTTTTTTCCCCTTTCCTATTTCACCCATTATGCACTGCATGTGACATTTTATTCTGATAAAACAATAGCATACATAAGCCAAACTTAATTGGTTTTAAAATAACACATTGACATGGTTATTCCTTTAGCATATATTGTACCTTTTGAGGATGGTAGAAACATAAAACTATAATTCTTTTCTGAATCGTATAATGGTTGGTAACCCCATTTCTAGAAATTTCAGCATAGTTGGTGTCGTTGGTTATTTGTCTGAAGAGCTTAATACTTAATTTGCAGATCTCAATCCAGAAGTGTGAGAAGGATGGAGACAACAGGCTACGAGTATGTCATTCTGCATGTCAGTCTTATAATCTAGCATGTGGAGCTTCACTGGACTGCGGTGATCAAACCCTTTTCAGCAGCGAGGGGGAGGAAGGGGGTCAATGCACTGGCTCTGGTGAGATGAAATTGTCATGGTTGAATCGACTGAGAAGTAGTTTTTCTTTGAGAAAGAGTTCCTCCAAAGGAATATCTGTAAGATATAGGCAATTCTAGCTTCAATTCTGTCTTCTTGAGGTTGGGGTTTTGGATTGTAATTTTTACAGGGTTATTGTAGGAAAAAATGGTGGCAAAATGTAACACCTTAGATTTAGGGCCTTACTCATCCAAAATTGTCTAGGTAAAATGGGATGAAAAGGTTACAAATTTGGCTTTCAAAGAGAGCCTTTTGTAGAGAAATTTGAGTCTTTGGAAAGGGATAGGTAAGAAGGGAAAGAAGAAAAAAGGAAGTTAGACATTAATTGAGCTTAGGCCGAAGGCCTTCAAAGGGAAAAGAAAAAATATGCTTCATTTCTTTTTCTGTATATATTATTAATATGTCTTATTTTCCTTTAATTCATCCTTTTAAATTATTGTTGTCATTTTGTTTAGTTGTGTGTGTGTGTGTGTTTTTTTTTATTTAAAGTATCGTTAGCTTTATTAAGTTGTAAAATATTTAGAATAAATTCCTAGTCCCAATAATTGATTGCAAGTGTAAGGTAATTTATTCTTTGAAATTTTAAAATGAGTCTATTAATCTTTGATTTTAACAAATATGAGACACTTTAGATTAATTAATTTTTTTTATTATAATGATGTTAACTTTTGTTGTTAAGTAACAAAATATGTCAAAACATTTTAATATGATTTTAAAAATTAATCTGATCGGTTTGCGTTATTGTTATTATATATATATTTCTCTATTTTCCTATATTTTTATTATTGCCATTGTCATCTTTCAACTATACTTTCCATTCATGTACATGAATCCAAAAACTAACTTGCTTAAAATTTACTCGACGTTCAAAATTTTAGGCATTGAAGATTTACTCAAAATATGTCTCAATCTTATCCAAAAATACTGAAAGACACTGAAAGTTTAAGGAATAAACTAGTTGTGTGGAAAAGTCATTTAGATGGGCAGTAATATTATTGGATTTGAAAAATAGAAATTCAAAAGTTTTTAATTTCCTAAAATCTGAATTTAATTAAAAGAGGACGCTTAGACAGTAGCCTTTTTTATTTTATAAAAGTTTAGCTAATTATGCAGCTAAAATTGATCAAAGTATAATAATCTTCAATCCAAAATTGACCACTTTTAATAGCATTAAGCATCGTATTGAATGCTCATGATGAAACTAAACTTGCTTAGCTATGATTAGAATTAAAATTTGAAAATATCATGGTACCCCAAAAAAGGGAATCATAGTTGGGCTGTGTCCTTACCCTAGCAAAAATAACAAATAAATTTTCATACACAGGCTGCTGAGCTATATATAACCGTAGTGATAATATTTCTCAGAGTTGATGGGTATTAAAATACAATAGTAGAATTAAACAATGTAGAGAATGCAAAAATTGCCTTTGCCTTAAAGGTCCTGAATCTTTTCTTGACTGCCGCGCCTCTTTCTTCTATTGTTTCTCTACGTTCTTCCTGTGCAGTGTGCACAGCCTAATGGGCTTTCACCAAGCAAGGAAAGTTGCTCTCTTTATCTTTTATCTCTTAAAATCATAAATGTGAATTAAGACGAAAAGTTGTACAAAAGTAAGAAAGTGATTGAAAGCAAAAAATAAAATTCAAGAATAGAAGGTAAGCTAAAATAGTATATTTTTCTTTTAGAATTTGGACTGCGACCAGGTGCCTACAAATCTTGCCATATAGCTACATCTCTTCAAATTTTATTTAATTTTCCACATTAAACTTGAAACTAAATTTAGAACAAATTACTATCAACAAAGTCTACTTACTTCCGTGATCTTTAAGCTTCAAAAGGAAGTTAACGAAATTAAAATGAGGCACACTTTATTAATTGAAGAGTTTAAAATCACCTTTTTAACACCCTATTGACTAAAATTCATTAAAAAACCAAAAAATATGAGCAAATCGTTAAATTAAGAATGAAATCAATTATTTTGTAAATTTTAACAAAACTTAACCACTAATAAAGGTGCTTGAAAGAGCACCTTAAAAAAATGTTGCTACCCCTTCTCTTTGAATGAATTCATAAACATTAGAACATCACAGAACTTGCAAAATGTACGCAATTGTAACGAGACAAAACAAAAGATTTATTCACCAAAATTAAGAACAAAGAAAAGAAGATATTTGAATCCCGAATCCAATATCCATGTAGTTTTTCTGGTATAATCCGATATCCATATATCACGTCTTAATAAGAAAGAGAATAATAAAATGTCCACATATATAATATATAAATCCCTCTCACTAAATTTAACCAATCACGAAACTGATCCTATTACTCTATATATATGCCAATTAATGACGAGTGGAGGATCCCGCAGGGCAAAAAGTGATACTATAATCGGCGCCAGAACACGTGCAAGTGCTCGAAGCATCATCGTAAGCGTAACTATACGCACTGGGACACGCCTTCTTAAACATTTCCGAATATTGTGTCGGCGAACATGTCTGCGGCGACGAGTGCTCGCCGGTACAGCAAAACTCCGCCCTATTAAAAGCCGCACACGCGCTCTTGCACGCCACCACCGCACCGCCACCGCTTCTCACTTGCAACTCCGCCGGACATAAACCGTTCAAATCCGCAACGCACCCTGCGTACTGGCAATCACCGGTTCCTCCGGTAGCCCTTACCCCCATTTCCACATTGTAACCGTCCACAAGACTCACGTCGTAAAAATCTTTATTGCCGTTACCGCTGCTACCGATCGTAAATTCCGCTAGCGTCACCGGCGGCACACCTCCTCCGGTGCATCTCAGTCCTCCGGCGCAATCTCCGGTGGCGCATTGTCCGTTTCCGGCGCCGTCGAAGTTGCACCCCGTCCTCGCCCAGAAGCGGCCGGACCAACCCGACGGTGCGGTGAGCTGAACGGACGCGCCCGGCGCCAGAGAAAAACCTCCGCTGCCGAGAATGGCGGCGCCGTTGCCGGAAAGTGTACCGGGCCAAATTGTGTAACTGCATTGGTTTCGGATGGTAAACACTGTGGCAGATGCCATGTTACCTGCAAATGTATTTATTTATGCACAAATGAATTAAAATAATCCAAAATGCATTGACAAAATACACATTTGCCAAATCTATATCAAACGTTAACAAAATTATTGATATGATTATTACACAGAAATCAAGAAGGAGAGAAAATAAATATATGATGTTAGAAAATACTAAGTTGGAATTTTGGTTTCAACATATATCGATTTCAAAATAATAATAAATATATAGTTAAATTAAGAACAATATCCAATTAATCTTGAGCAATATAGAAGCATTAGCAAAGTTGTTCAACATGTATTAATTTTTGTGCTTAAAAGATCTGAAGCATCGTTTTAAAGTAAAAATCATGAGTACACCAATAACAAACGAAATGAGCACTAAATGTTGCTGTAACAATTACAAATACAAGTTGTGATTCAAAAGCTTGGGAAACATATAATGATAAAAGGTATAAAGTAGAAACATGCATGCTTGGGTGTGGGATTTAGAAGTGAAGAAAAGGGGTTTGTTGTTTACCTAATAAGAAGAGGAGGAGGTGGAAGAGTGGGGAGGTTTTTGAGTTTGGGTTTAGGGCCATGGCTTTGGTATGAAAGAGTAGAGAGAAAAGAATGACGGTTGGGAAGTTGTGGGTGCAATGAAGAGTTGAAGTGGGAATGTGAGAATGGAAATTGGGATTGGAGTGAAAGTGAATTTATAATTGGAGAACCGTTTTGTTATTGTTATTTAAGAATTGGGCCCTTTCTTTCTGTGAGAAATTTAAGATTGTGGGTCATCTTGTGATGGGACCTGCCAACTCCATTTCTCTACACGCCCAGAATCTTGGCTCTTCCTTTTCACCACTATTTATCATTGCTAAATAAAACAACTCACTTCTACTGTCAATATTTTTTTAACATTTGATTAATATTACTCCACTTAAAAACTTTCATTTAAAACTTTTTAATTATTTAACACTATAAATATCTCTATATCCATAATATAGTAAAATTAGTTTCTTTAAAGTGTTTTTATTTCCTTAAAGATTAATCTTTCTCCCATGAGATGGCTTTTTAACCTCAAATCTCAATGCTAGTGAGTTTCAAATTGCCTTCTATGGACTTGAGTTGCTTGTGATTGCTTCATAGGTGTATGCAACTGTCACGTTTAATTATTTATTTATAAATTCATTTACTCAGTTTATATATTATTCTATCAAATACGTTATAAAAAGGCAAACTTAATGAAAATAATTATCATTGATTGACCAATTTATATAACGATTGATCATTAAATGTCATTATTATTAATTAAAATTACAATATAAATATTGTATGATCTAATGTTTAATTTTATAAAGGTATATGAATTGAGAAAATAATTAGATATATCTTCCAATTAATTAATCTAATTGTACAAGAGTAAATATAAGTTTTAATTTATTTTATTTAAATTACCTTCTAAAATTATATTATTAACTTGCATACGTCATTCATGTGCAATTCAAAGTAATTATATCATGAATTTAAAATACATAAAAAATAATATAAATATTTATATAGTAATAAAATAATATTTTTTTAGTCTAGATCATAAATTTTTTTACTATGAAGTAATTTTATTTGAGCCGAAAAGGTCTATTATATAATTAACACAAGTTAAAAAAATCTCTAATTTCATAAAATTTATGAACTAAATTTGTCATAATTTACTATTTTTTTCCTTCCCACGTTTTAGCTTCTTACTAATAAGAGATGCTTGTATTGGAAGATCATCAATTATATTTGTATTATTAAAATTTATTTAATTTTTTTTATCAAAGTTATATTCATGTGTAAAAGTTAATCAAATAAGGTCATGTTACAACACCACTATTTTAAAATAATCATGATTTTTGATAAATTAACCTCTATATTCTAAATAAAAATCTACTATTTAAAAAATAAGCATTAGTGGAACTATTCTTCTTCATTATTTGTTATGTGAATATTTTAAGATTAAAATTGATTAAAAATTATGGGTGAATTTCACACTCTTTTATTGCAATAATTTTAATTTTTATTAATATATTTATTAATTTATTCTAAAATTTGAAATTAAAATTGTTACTTAACTTTCTTGTGTTTTTGTATATATTTTTTTATTTTTTAAATACTTATTTTTATATATAAAAATTATCTTAATTTTTTTTTCAAATTCAAAGTTTACTTTTAGAGTCTAATATCTTAAATTTATGCTTACTAATATATATTAATTATTAACATTTAATTAAAATGTTTTATTGACGCTATGAAATAAGTATTATTTTTAAAATAAATTATATTTTAAAATTATTTAAATTTAATTAATTTTTTATTATTTTAATGCATACTATTTGTAGTTATAAAATTAAATTAAGTCAAAATAATTTTTTAAAAAAGATATAAACTAAAATATTTTTATTATATATAATTATTTACAAAAATTATAAAATTGTATTTTTAAAGATTAAATTATTATAAATATTCTAAAATAAATTTCTGTGCATTGCATGATCCACTAAACTAGTTAAAATAAAATGAGATATGATTTGAAAACCAAAAAAATCGTAATCAAGTAGGTATATTATGAAATTATACAAAAAAATAATAATCAAATTTTAAAATACTTCATAATAAGATTTATAAATATAAAATTTAATACTTAAGTTATTAAAATAAAATATTTCATATGAATTTAAGACTATAAAAATTATTTTCTTGGATTTGGTTGATAATTATTGAACCATGTTTAGTTAATGGTTATTGGATTCTATCACGATATTATTTTTTGAATATCTTTAAATTTTAAAAAATTTTAAAAATAAAAATAAATATGATTTTATATCACTATTCTTTTAATCGAGTTAGAATATAAAATGTATTTTAAAATTATATCAATTGATAATGAAGTAAATCATTAAATTAAAAATGATTTACTCTCTTCATATATCTTTCTTTTATGTATATTGACTCTTACTATAAAAGATTATATGAAAAGTAATAATTGGCAATCAATTAAGGTTAGTAAAAATGTATAGTTATATCCCATTTGCTTTTTTTACCAATGTTGTGCTTTTATTTTGTCAAAATTAAAAGTTTTCAAATCAAAATTATAAAGAAATTTTTTTGATCAATTTAGTGTTGTGTATAGTCTAAAGGTTAACTTGATAAAATCTTGAACTTATGCTTTGACTGATATTAATAGTTAGAAATTAGCCAAGATCACATCTATCACAAATATTTATTTTACTTCTTTCCCTGATAAGTATTTGAGTTTTTCAATGATCTTAGTTAAAGCGAAAAGAAGATATTTTGACTTTATTGTGAATAAAATTTAACATATGCTTGCTAACTAAAAGTCTAGTTTCTTTAATAAAGCGAGACATTTAACTCTAGTTAATTCAATTATCATGACGATTCCAACAAGTAACCTATAACTGTATTGACCGTCTTAATCTATTTGCCATCTTATTGATAAGTGTGTGTGATTTTCTTTAGAAGAATAATGATAGAAAGAGAATTAACTTGGTGAACTGGGAAAAAATACTCAAACCTAAGATGATGTACTTGGTATGAGAACAAATAGAGAAACTAATGTGAATTTATTGGGTAAAAGAGTTTGAGATATGATGAATGAAAAAGATAAACTCTGTGCAACTATTTGTAGGAAAATATGTGAAGGAAGATAATTTGTTAGATCATAATAAAGCGTTTTAATCTTATCAAATAATCAAAAAGGCTAAAAATATTATGAGAGATGAATTTACTTTGCAACTTGGTAATAGACAAGTTTCTTTGCGATATCATGACTAGTTGGGATTGGGCAAATTATGTGACGACATTTCTTATATTAACATTCAAGATACAAATTTATAGGTTAAGGATGTTTAAACCCAACATAAGTGGAATTTTTCTCAAACTGTCACTTTGATACCAACATCAATTACTTTAGTCATTCATCAATCTAACTTGGTCAATCAATAGTTATGTTGAAGATGAGTTTATTTGGTCAAGTAGTTTGGAGGGAAGTTATACAACTAAACATTGTTTTAATTGGCTCATTGGTTGGAGAACTCCGTACCATTACTTATTTTTTTGTTGGAAGTGGATTTAGCGTCTTCTTTGTGCAAAAAATATTAAATTCCTAGTTTGATTTATTTGTCTGTGATACTCTTCCCACAAATTACTTAAAGTATCATAAGAACTTAACACTTTCACGCCTTTGCTCAAGATGTCACACTTATGTAGGTATCTGGAATGATGGATTTGCAACTTTCTTTGATGCCAACAATTGAATTATAACTCAACATAAAAAAAATATTCCTTTATTGTATTCCTGGGAAAAAAGACTCAATTTATAAAACTATGCTTAATGTTATGAATCTTACCAACAAGTGTAGCAATCTCAAGTCCGTCTCATTAGGTTCATTATGAGGTTGATCAACATTTTGAATTCATCTTTAATGTTGATGAGAGTGCTTAGGAAGAGTTAGTTTTAGTGCTCTTATTAGAAATATAGATGAAAATTAACTTTGAAGAACTTTTGGATTTATTGACATTTCTAACAATATTTATATTGAACTCATAATCATGCTTCAAGAGTTGACAATGACTTGAAATCTAAATATCAAACATCTATTATGTTACTTTAATATAAGAAGGTCATAAACCTTATGACAAAAATTGTTCTACCTTTTTACAAGTATGCTAATCTCATCTGAGATACATGAGTAACTGAGAAAAGACTGAACCATTAGATACACTCTACCTAAAGGCAACACATGTAAGTTTTTTAGTTAAACTAAAATCTTATTCAAATTGTGATTTAAAAAATTAAGTCTTATCTCCTACAAACTTAAAATTATAATTTTTTAAATTTATTTCTTACTTTTCTATACCAAAAAATAAAAAATATACTACCAGTAATATATATATATTAGATAATAAATATTGTCTAATATATAATATGATAACATAAATATATTTTTTATATATTATAAAAAATATATATAACAAGGTAATTGATACTTAATGTATTTAACTTCATAAGATCAATATGATTGATCCTTAAAATATTACAAATAATTAAGATAATTATGATAGTAAATTCAATAATATTTACTTATTACTTCAAAATTATAAATAAATAAATAATTATTAAGATATATATATATATATATATATATATATATATATATATAAGTGATCATTAGATATTAATTTCATGATTTGTATTATATAATCATGAGTAGTTATATTATACTAACAATTAAGATAATTGTGATAAAAATGTCAATAATATTTACTTATTATTTAAAAAAATTATAAAAGTCATAGTTACATCCTTATGCTTATCAAAATTTTAGGGTTTAGTTATGTTTTAATGGGATAAGTATTGTGAATTTCAGTACTTCCACGGAAATTCATTGATTGTGGTCTAAGGTATTGATTTGACCACGTTAGGTTATTAGAGTATCAGTTTGGTAAAAGTTGGATCACAACTACCTTTAAAGAGGTAGTCCAATGTTTTTTTTTTTCATCACTTTGGATCAAAATAATATATCATTTATAATAATGATTTATTAAAATATAAAAATATTTATTTTAGTTTATTAAAATAAACAATATTATTTTTTAATTTAAAAATT